CTGGGCGCACCCCAGAGCTCCCCTTCGGAAGGCCGGGGTGGGCGGGCCCAGGGCTGGCTCTGGGTGGTGAGCCTGGCGGGTGACGGCCTCCGCTCTGCCCTCCTGCAGCCGCCTGGAGCTCAACGGGGTCAAGTCGGGGGCCCCGGGAGCCTTCTCACCCTACAGGAAGCTGCGCAGGATGTGAGTGGCCACTGCTGGGTGGGCTCCCGACTCGGGGCCCACGGCTGGCACACCCCAGCCCTGCTGGCTAGGCTCCCGACTCAGGGCCCACGGCTGGCACCCCTCAGCCTCCCGGCCTTCGCACCCCTCGGGCTGCGCCTCTTTGATGGGGCGGGGAGGCCCCCTCGCAGGGCTGTCCTGAGGCCTGATGGGGTGCTGAGCCCAAGTCTGGCATGGGACCGGGGCTGCTTGTCGCCCTCGTTTTCATCCTGAGTGCGATGGGAGGAAGCCTGACAAGACGGGGGTGCAGGGGCAGCCCGCCAGTACCTCCCCAGCCGGAGGGCCTCACGCAGCTCAGGGGCACCGGGGAAGAGTGGCCCATGGGGGAACGGAGGGCAGGGCGGGCGCTCCCATCTGGGGGGGAAGAGTGAAACCTCTCCCTCAGGGTGTCTGGGAGGCAGGAGGGGCATCTGCCGGGAAGCCAGCTCCCCCTCTGACCCCCGACCCCTTGCAGAGACCTGAGCAACAACCAGATCGCAGAGATCGCGCCCGACGCCTTCCAGGGCCTCCGCTCCCTCAACTCGCTGTGAGTAGCAGCACCTCAGCTCCCCGGAGGTCCAAGGCACCCTGGAGGGGGCTGGCAGGGCCCGGAGTGCTCCGGGAGTGCTGGAGGAGGAACAGGCCCAGTCACCTGGGAGCAGACAAGGAAAGAGAGGCCGAGCGCATGCCGAGCTCAGCCCCCATGGCGGGACTTCCCAGTGTTCTCGGCAGCTGCTGTCTGCCCCCCTGCCCACCACCCACAGCAGCCATGGCCCCCCACTCCTGAGCCTTGCTGTCTCCCCTACAAGGGTGGTGACCACCAGCCCCACTAGTGACACCTGCCACCTTGCCATCTTTTCCCCAAGATGTGGGCGGTGTGAGGGTGGCGTTCTCCGCCTCTATCCGGCATTCCCCTCCCTGCAGGGTCCGCAGGGTCTGTGTGCAGAAAACACAGCCCAGTGCTGTGTGGCGTGCTCCCAGGGGCCCTCGCTTGCACCCCTGCTTCACCAAGCCCTCGCCCCCCGAGGTCTCCCTGCACTTGTCCACACAGGGCATCCGGCTGCCCTGCAGCTGGGCCGGCTCCTCATGGTGAGGGGGTGGGTTTTCCTCGGAGCCATGTCTCCCCGTTACTTGGCAGCACTGGGTGGTGGGCGCAGGTTAGAGGTGGGCAGGTGGACCCCGGAGATCTCCCCTGGAGTGCAGGGCCACCCACTCTGGACCCTGTGCTCACCCTCTTCTGGGGCGAGGGGTGGCTGGCCACGAATGGTCCCTGAGGTTGCAGTGCACACCCTGCCCAGCTGCGCAGGGCGCCTGGCGCAGGTTCACTATCCTGGCTAAGGGGGCTGGACCCCACAGGCAGCCTGTGTGGGGGGCTTTCCTGGCACAGGTCCACTGTCCTGGCTGAGGGGGCTGGACCCCGCAGGCAGCCTGTATGTGTGGGGGGGCTCTTTCCTGAGCAGTGGACACACCCCTCCTCCTGGGAACATGGTAGTCGCAGGGTGACAAATGAGACACCTGTCTGTGGGGGTGTCCAT